TATATATATATATATATATATATATATATATATATATATATATATATATATATTATCATATATATTTTATTTTATCTAATACAAAATGTACGTTTCAGTCAAAATATTATTCGAAAATATTTGTGTGTTTTTTGAATATTTAATTGCAATTAAATTAAGAATTAATACGGTAAATCGAATTTTTGTTCAACATTATGAGCAATATTAGCTATGTATTTCATAAAACCATATGAATTTAACTTAGATATTATCTTACTTTCTCATAGCATTGAATGCACTGTCTGTCATAATATACTTGAAGTGATATCAAATTAATAAGTCACAATGTTAAATCATCTTTCTCTCAAACAATGCTAGACTGTTGCTTTCAAAGAATCGGTTGACATTATACCAATTTATTGTGGTTTTTTGGTCTCGCAATAAGATAACATTGAATTAAAATAATTAAATAATTCACTATTATTTTAGTTCAAGATAAAAAATAATACGACAATAAAATTTTATAATTTTTACAATGCACTGGATTTTCAAATTACTCGAGTACATACATATAAATACAGTGATGACCACTATAATTTTTTTTTATTGATTATTTTTTTCTCTTTTCATCATAAACCAAATAAATATTTTTCTTAAATATTCAGTGCATTCATGCTAGAATTTTCTTCTTAGTAATATATTTATATTTTTTTATTATTAGCCAAATGTTATGTTAAATCAAGAAATGTACTACTCGTCGTCATGTGTTACACAATTGTATTACACAATTAATCTTGACCATAACTGGTAGTAAAAAAAGCTAACATTCCAAAAAAGCTTAATTCTTAATGCACTAGTTATATTATTGAAATAAAGTAGTAATTAGATTAAAAATAATAAAAAATAAAAGAAGTTCACAAAATTAAAAAAAGAAAAAAACTTTTTAAAGGCATTGCAATTTTCGAAGAAAAAAAAATTGTTAAATGTTTTATAAGTAAAGGCTGTAGCAACTCATCGAACCTTATTGAAATGAATACGCATATGCCATAAAATAAAGTTTCAATACAAGTAATATTGTTTTTATACACTTTAGATCAATACCTGAAAATATGTGGAAGTCATAAAATTAAATTTTTTTATCAGTACAATTCTTACAGAACCAATTTCCTACTGGTTCTTCACTGATTCCAGCACAAGTCCATTTGAACCAATATAAACATTGGTCGCAACAAACACATTGCTCTGCAATACTCTTATTACAAACTTGAAAAGTCCATATTTTTCGATTAATTTTAATTTGAATTATTCGTTTAATAAGTGCAAAGGCTTTGGTGGTAAAATATTTTTTAATTAAATTTACGTCACAACTTACTATAGGATCTTTTAAATTTTCTGGCTTAAATCCGACAATATCCTGCTTTTTAACTTTATTTTTTTCATTGACCTGTTTGACATACTCTTCGTTTTCAAAAATTGTAAGTAAAATAAGTTGTTCTTGTTTTTCCAGTGATAAAAGAGCGAATTCTACAGGCATTGGTTTATTGAGAAAACTATCATTTTTTTTTCTTTCTCAATACTATCCCCGATTTGGTTATTTGTATCGTCGGCTGATTTGCTTAATATTTCCTTTTCAACATCATTATTAACAGCATTATCGGTATCAGAATGATTTGAAGCATTTTCCTTATCATCTACATCATTATTAATATCTAACGTTTTCTCAATGACCACAGAATTCGCGTGTGTATTCATGAAATTAGAACCAGCAACATTGTTAGAATTTGCAGTATCTAAATCACTCGGGTGGCTATTAGTCAGCGATTCTTGATAAACATCAGTACGTTCCGATAACGCTTGCTCTGATTTTTGTAAAGTGATATTTTCGATATTTTCTTCCGAAGAATTTTTGTTATTGTTTTTAAATTTTCTAGATTTTGTGAATGCCTCTAAGGTACTTTTTTCTTTTTCAAAAACAAAAGTTGAGCGATCGTTTTCTTTAAAATATAATAGTAAATCTTCAAGTTTTTTTAAGTATTTTCGTCGATTTAAAACATCTAATAACAGTTTATTTTTAAGTGAATGCAATATTGAGTCGAATTCTTCATCATTAATACTATTAGTGGCTGAAACAGTGACAACAGCTAATTCATCCATATGATCAGGCCCTTTTGGAAGAAGATTCTACAAACAAATAAAATATTATGAAACATTTTTTATATTATAACATTTCACTTGCATGTTTAATCAAATTTTTCGATATATAATACAGCTATGAAAAATTTATGAAACACATATTAATTTGATGTCTCATTTTTGAGTTTACAATCTATCAATACTAAATCTTAAATATTTCTTTATTTATCTATAGCAATAATTTTATGAGAATAATTAACAATTCTACAACTTACATCAATATTACCAATTTTTTCAGTAGATAACGTAGTAGCATCTGTTCTGTTTCTTTTAATTTTCTTCTTAGGAGGTTCCTACATATGGATATTAAGAAAAAATGAATATTATTATTATGAAACGGTATAAATATATGCAACTATAATGTGGTTTATTCTTACATTGTCTTTATCGTTACAAGTGTCCTTTGAAAAAAAAAAATTTATCAATTATTATATTTCTATTATACAATACATGAATAGTATTAATTTAAATACTTATTTTGATTTCTATTGGATCGTGTTTGTGTTCAAAGTTGAATGACTGAACGTAGAGATACTGTGGTTGCCCTTTTGCTTTTTTTTTTGAAGCTATTTTCAAATATACTTCAAAAGGACAGTTGGTTCTTGCAGATCTAAACCAATAATTTCAGTTATTAATGAACATATATTGCATTATAAAAAGATACGAATTTAATGTTAGTGATACTTACTCTCTTTGTCTTTGTCTATCTTCATCTTTTACACTACTTTCTGGCAAACCAGATTTGGGGCATTGGAATTTTATATACTCATATTGTAATCGTTCAATTAATGTCTCGTCAACACCTTTAAGTCTTTTAGAATTACCTTTTTTAATTTCACAGTTCAATACTGTTCGTAAATTTTTTATCATTTCATTTACTTCATCAATGCTATTAAATATTTGGCCAATTTTTAAATGATTCCCAGACATTTTAATAAAATTATAAATATTATAGAACTTGATTATTTTAATTTAATTAATGGTTATGTACTTCTAAAAAACAATAGTGTTGATTGAAAGGTTATTAATAAAAATCGAAGCTGGTATAAGAAGTACTGTTGAGTGTGTATTTTTGTTGGTAGTTCCTATTGTAACCAGAAGTTAATTAAATTCCCTAGATGTATGAACTACATGAACAAAATAAATATTTCTGTTTGACTTATATTAAGCTTAATTGATAAAGAAGAACAAATACCAAAAGTCGATATAATAATCTGCTATCTTGATAGATTTTATTTCATGACGAACATGGCCAGCTGTCTGTTATAATTACACGTCAAAATTGATAAAATTTAAAATAACCATGGAAAATAATATTGAAATTCCAAGAATTGGGTTACAATTTGACAGTTATTGCACTGCATATGCTTTTCTTAAAAAGTATATGGATTTAAGCCAAGAATTTTTTACTATTAAAACAAGTAACCTCATCCCGGTTACAGAACCATACAGTCGTACTTTTGTATATACCAGAGTAGTATTTGCTTGCAAACGAGGTGGGAATAATTATCAACCAAAAGGTTTAGGTTTACGTGAAACAAGGTATATAAATTTTGTAAAAATAATTGCGTTTAGACTATTATATTGTCGATATCTAATCAGTTTTAAGTTTCTGAATAATAAGTATTTACTTTTATAATTTATTTTCAAAAATATTCAGTGTAAAATGCTGAAAGAGCGGAAAAACTAAGGATCAGGTTTCGGTCTGGTTATCTCAATTAAAATACAAAAATTATTATTAAGAATATCACTAGAGATTTATTTACTATAAATACACTCAATATTAAATATATTCAATAGCGGATTGATAAGAAAAAAGCGGATTTATAAAACACAGCGTGGATATCAATGCGAAGCCGGTCAGCACGTGGTTGAGCAAATTGCCGGCACTGTAAAAAACGGTGAAACAAAAGCAAATAAACACAATTTATCTGAAACAAACTGAAGCGAAATATTAGCGGTTAATTTAAGCAATTTAAATTATAAAAATAGCGAAATGCGTTTAGTTAACGATGAGCGAAATAAAATAGCGGGAAAGCGAAGCGTTAGACTTAATGGCGGAGAAGCGAAAGATAATAATAATAATTCGTCTTCTTCCTAGTCTTGGAGAAGAAGGCTACTGCGCATGTCTAACGAGAGCGATAGCCAATCAATAAATTCGTTCTATTGATGTCGACATCGATAGCCAATGGTAAAATTCGATACCTGTGGCGTGATCAGTCAGGCGGTTTTACGCATGCGGGTGAGAAATAGCGGGAACGATGGCTTGTCAGGTGCGTGTTGTAAATTTGGGGAGCCCACAGTGACGTATTGCTCACTGAGTGGGCCTGTTCACCGAACATTCTCCCCGGCGTTGGCGGCTGCGTCGACAAGATCCTCTTCTTCATGCGTTAGCGGCAAGACACAGAGCTTTGTAATTGGGCGTACTAGCTCTGTGTTAACTGTCTTAACAGTTACCACGCGGATTTGTCCATCTTCTCCTGGATGGACAGCAATCACTTTGGCTAATGGCCACTTGGTTGGCGGAAGATGCTCAGTGGTAATCAGTACAACTGAACCCACCTTGATCAGGTTGCGTTGATGATGCCACTTTGAAATGGCCTGATAGCGGTGGATACAGTCCTGGTAGTAGCGTTTCCAGAAATGTTGCACCATTTGCTGGACTTGTTCCCAGTGCGAGAGCCGAGCAGGTTGTAAATCTGTCAGCGATGGCTCTGGGACTGCGGTCAATGACTGTCCAATTAAGAAATGACCTGGAGTCAATACAGCCAGGTCAGCAGGATCTTCATTCAGCAGTGTAAGCGGTCTGGAGTTCAATATAGCTTCAATTTGAGCCAGTAGCGTTGAATACTGCTCAAGCGTCAATAGCGAATCTCCGATTGTTCTTCTTAGGTGAAATTTAATTGATTTCACTGCGGCTTCCCACTTTCCTCCAAAATGTGGTGCTCTAGGCGGATTGAACTTCCAGTTCGTGCCATCTTGAGCGATCAAACTTGATAATTCTCGTAAAGTCCGGGATCCTGCAGCGAATAGTCGTTTCAGCTCTTTATCTACTCCTACAAAATTGGTTCCACAGTCAGAATATAGCGTGTGGCAGATACCTCGGCGACTAGTGAAGCGGCGATAAGCGGCGATGAAGGCGGCTGCGGTGTAATCAGTTACTAGCTCCAAATGTACAGCTAAACTGAACATGCATACAAATACTGCAATCCAGCCTTTGTATGTTTTTGCTCCACGTCCTTGAAACGTTTTTAGCGTGATAGGTCCAGCGTAGTCGAGTCCTGTATGCAAAAAGGCTCGAGTTGGCTGTACTCGTGCGGCAGGTAGTTGACCCATCAATTGTTGAGCACGTTCTCCACGATGTCTCGTGCAGATTACACAGCGTAATATAAAAGATCTGACTGGAACACGGCCTCCAATGATCCAGACACTTTTTCGTAAGTCAGCGAGCGTGAGCTGGGTACCTCCGTGAAGCGTTTTGCGGTGCGAATCATCAATCAAAATTGATGTAAGCAGTGAATGTCTTGGCAGGATTGCTGGATGCTTTTCTTCTGGGTCCAGCAATGCGTTTTTCAAGCGGCACCGACTCTCAGGACCCCCTGATGATCGATGAACGGAGTCAGCTGGGTGATGTTGTTATTTTTTGGCAGATCATCACCATCTTGAAGCGTATGAATCTCTCTAGCGAAATATTGGCCTTGAGTGAACTTAATCAAGGTCAATTTAGCGCGCTCCAGGTCTGATGGAGTAAGCGGGTAGGCCAGCGAAGATTGTGGAACTCTTTTGAAGCGGTCGATGACACGATGCCAGATGCTGAGCTTCCTAAGTAATGGAAACAGCTGCGTGTAATGCGATAGTAATTGTTGGAGCAGGCAATTTTCTGCTTTCCAAGTTACTAATGTCAGACCTTGGCGTTCTTCTCGATGCGTTGCGTTGTCGGTTGGAGGCTCCAGAGTGGGCCAAGAGGATTCTGGTTCATGAAGCCAAGTTGGTCGATGCCACCAGAGGGCGTGTTTCTTTAATTTTAGCGTAGGTATTCCTCTTGAAGCGCAGTCAGCTGGGTTTTGTTTTCCTGGAATAAATTTCCAGGAGACATCTCGAAGCGTTTCTTGGATTTTTCCCACTCTATTGCGGACAAATGTCTTCCAGCGGGTTGATGGACTTTTAATCCATGCGAGAGTCACGGCGGAGTCAGTCCAGAGATTTATCCTGACATTTTCAAGAGACTGAACTTCTTTAACATGAAGTATCAGTTGTGTTAGCAACCATGCGGCAGATAATTCCAAGCGTGGAATTGTCATAGTCTTCAGCGGTGCAACTTGCGTTTTTGAACACAAAAGTGACACTTTTGTGTTCCCATCAGCGTCAGTGACTCTCAAATAAACAGCGGCAGCCATAGCGTTCTGCGAAGCGTCTGAGAACCCGTGCAATTCCATAGTTGCTCCAGGTGCTATATTATTCCAGCGTGGAATGCGGATTGATTCTATGTTGCGGAGATCATCGCGATATCCAGTCCATTTGTGTATGAGTGAAGGTGACAGTTGCTCGTCCCATGACACTCTATCTAGCCACAAATCTTGCATGAAGATCTTGGCTTTGACGAC